TTTTTTTTTCCTATTTCTGCTGTTTCTTTATTGAGTAACCTGCTGTATAATAAATTATAATTTTATATGTTCATTAACGTTGTAACCATCTAACAAAGCAGCCCACTTTGTTCAAATCTAATAGGAATGTTTACCAATTTTACCTGATGCTTAATCAATAAATAATTATCTATGCTTGACACTGACTGCTGGTGTAAGCATCAAACAGTTGAATAGACCTTCTCATTGCAGACAGTAAAAAGCAATATCAAAGCATACTAGTAATTTCCTATTTGGATTTTTTCAAACTCCAAAATTATGATTGTTGCAAACTGATTTGTAGCCAACCCAATAAAGCTAAATGTATATTTCCTAAGCAGAATTATAGTGTGAAATGTATTAATTACTTATGTATTCTAATGATTTGTTTTTTAAATCACTTGCAGTTTCTCCTGATGACAGTCACAGATCATGCAGGGTAGTAGGGAAGTATCTGTGATCACTGTATGTAGAAGGACTTTTGAGGATAAAACAGGGCAGCCACCAGAACACTGTGGGGTTAACTTGCTAAAGGCAAATAGGCTATTCACTTTGCAAGGGATTTTTTTGTTCCCTTAGCTTAGTGAATAAGGACAATTTCTGCTGACTTCTATCATCCAATTATGTGCAAGCAAAAATACTGTTTTTTTTTATTTTCTTGCACGTGATTGGGTAATCTCTAGTGAAATTTCACCACATTTACAAGCTAGGGCAAATTATCTTTCAAAGTGAAAACTACCCTCCCCAATAAACAGACTGTTTGCCTTTAGTCAATCAACCCTTTAGTAAATAATGTCTCTGACAACATTTTTAGAGCAAGTAGTGAATTGTACTTCTCCCTCCGCTATACAACTACCCATATCACCACTCTACACTCAAAGCTTAGCAGGATTCAATTCTTGATCAGAAATTGAACATAGTAAAATTTAATCCTTTGACATGGTGATTCATTTTCAAGAAAAAACAATATTCAAGGGGCAATAAATGACATGTTCTAGATGGCCAAGTCAAGCTTTGGTGCTCATTTTAGTCTCCCATGCCTGGGTGCCAAACTAGATTGAAATTCCAGAAGCAGTACAGACTTGACTTCATCCAATCTTATTAAACAGAGTAGAGTATAAGTGTTCTTTGCTGTTTTTACATTTTACTCCATGGGCTGATTCTCACGCTTGGAGCTGCAGTTGCTGCATTCAGATAAAAGCTATGGTGGGTGTTCTGGCTTCAGATAATGGAGTGCCTTTTATAGGAGGTATTCTTTTTTATTTACTTTGTGAGGTAGCAGGGCATAAGAGAAACGTTATCTGCAGGCAGCAATCCTTTGAAGAATGCGGTCTGAAAAATCCCTAAATGTGTTCTCCTCCTTTGCCTGAGGGATTACTTCAAATTGAAATACTTCAAATTGAAATGCATAATCTCTTTCTTTCTAACATTGTCTCATATTCTATGACTAGCTGCCAAAAGGCAGAACTCTTGTTCCAATTCTTTTTCCTTAAATTTCCATGCTACAGCCTCACTCCAAAAGTTCTCCAGAAGACTTCCAAAAGCTACTTCCTATTAAAAATATATAAATTATTTCTGCCATTTGGCCTTCATTTGTTTAGATGGGTGAGAAAGGTAATGGATATATTCTAATATTCTAAAAATGCAATGAAAACTCAAATTTGAACAAAATTTAATATCCCCATTCTACACCTGCTAAAACCTCCTTTAGGATTCTGGACATTTGCTTGCCATGCTTCCTATACTTTGCTAAAGCAACTCTCTCAGCTAGAGGTGCCTGGCCATACCTGTGGCAACGTCAAAAACTTTTTTACCACAGTCAGTTCTTGGGCTGTTTGGACAGTGAAAACTTTCTAATAGTGCTAACCGCCCACCTTACTACCTCTTCCACATTCCTATTGGCCAGTGAGGCTGCCCATCATATAGCCAATAAGATTGTGTGGGAGCACAGCATGTATAGATACATTTTAGACTGTTCTTACAGGAAAAGTTCCAACACTTCCTGATTCAGAATGGTCTGAGATTCAGCTGAAATGTTTAAATGCCTCCACTTCATACCTGCAGAAGTTTTCCCTCCCTTAACAAAATATTTTTAGGCTGGCTATAGACATTAGAGGGAGTTGGGCATACTGGCAAAATATTACTGGTTTTAGTCATCTGGGTTGCACAGCACGTTCCCAACCAACACAGGTTGCATTGGCAACTGTTAGGGTTTGTGCCAACAGGCTTTAGGCTTGTACCAATGGCATCAATTTGACATTATTTTGTGATGCTTCCGAAATGATTCAGAATTCATTACAGATGCATTTTACCTGCAGCTAACTTTTTTATGACCTGCAGTTGACCTGTTTCAAGCTGTTTTCTCATTTTCAAAAATCTGGGATTGCAAAAACCGTTTGAATATCATTTATGCTTAGGCCTATTGAGCAAGGTGGAGGAGCCACTTTGCAGACACCTTATTGTTCTTGCTCTAGTTCTGTGGTTATTATTTCTTCCTATTAGCCAAAATTAGAAGTGTTAGCAGGTAATTTAAAGACACTGGGAAGATCAGAAGACTGTGAGATAATGCCTGTGGTCAAACACTTAACTATAGCAATAGCAGAATATGTGACTGCTATAGAGTCTCATACAGTGAAATACATGTAATGTTCAAAAGATTCTGCTGTATAGTACATAAATAACAATGGACAATAACAATCAAACAATCCAACTCAGAGATCTTTCTTATACATAAATATGCTTGTATTTTAGGACAATGTTGGCATTTATCTCTGAATAATAATATTATATGTCAGTGGTGTCCACAGAGGTCTGAGATACCACAAACTGATCTTCATTTCATTGATCAGGTCACAATTACTGAATGTTTATGGCTAGGTCAAGATGATAACTTTTGTGACGCCGACACACCTTGATCACAGCAATAATAACTACATTTGCAAGAGATCAAGGGTGTTTAAATTCAGTGATAAAGAGTACAATTAATGATACATAGAGGCTCTCATGATTGTGAATGTCTGATTGATATACTATCTGTGTCCCCTAGCTACCCCTATCTGTTTTACCCTGGCATTTATTTAAGAATTATGAATTCTTGAGAAGCTGCACAGACAATTCCATTAATTTTAAAGGAGTGAAATACATTTTTTAAAAGATATTCTATATGTACTTTTGCTAAATGAATGTTGCTATTGCAGTTCTAGCATTTTTTTCTTTTCTATCTTTAATTTTTTTTTTGCATTGTGGTTCCATAGTCAGAATCAGAGAAGAGAGCATCTTTATTGTCAAATTGCGAAATAATTATTAAAACTTCCAAATATTGCTTTAGCTCACTAGTTCACTGAGTAGATATGGTACTTCTGAACTTATTTGTGATATGCAAATTCTTAATTATCTACAAAAAGCTGTAAAGTAGCACACTGTATTTAAATATTCAGTATTTAATTTTGTTTCTGATAGTAGCACTGCAAAGTATTATACTGACTCTGTACTTGCCAATATATTAAAATAATGAGCATAGTTACAAATTATACAACTGTGCCACATGTTTTCTTCCCAAATAAAACAACATTATTATTGGAAACAGCTCAAGGGCACCAAAAGGGCAAGGTGTATCGTGTCCTTTATGTTTCAAGTTGAACATTTAGTATTTAATTTCTTTCAAATTACCTTTATCTCAGTAAAAATGGTGTTTCCTGTTCTCTCACAACAAAGCTCTATGCTGATGTGCTAAGTAACAGCCACACTCCTCAGCACAAGTGTCCTTTCAACAACTTGTATTGCAAAGTAAGAGAAGGTGCATGTTAGGCCAGTTTTGTTACTTTGACCTGATTACTAAGAACATTGGGTCTAAATCTGGTGCCCATTGGACTGTCCAGTCATATTAAGACACCATGTACCACCACTGTAACAGGAAAGACTATTACAATTCTAACTTCAATGGGCTTTAAAAGGTCACTATGGATTTGTGAAATTTTTTTAGTCAGTGTCAAGAATATTGTGACAGTGTAACAGTATAGTCAACTTATCAATGGTCATTTTGGTTAACTGTCCACAGTGCCTGGGAAGGTAGCAGTGTCCACCCCTACTGTATGTAGCATTCTACTAAAGCATATTTTTTTCCACTGCTAATCACTTTTCAATAAGAATATATTTGAGGATTAAATTTGGTTTATATCTTGTTGTTGACTGTTTTGCAGCACTGTGATTCATAGGTGACAGATATGCAACACTAGGGCTTCAACAACAATGTCTTGCTTTGGTGCAGCTATTTCACACATGGCATCACTGTATGGTTTTGCAGCCGTTCCAATTTTTTACTCCCAGATTTCACACTAATGCTTTTACTGTGGCATAATTATATGTTTGGTGCAAGTGCTCAATTTCTTAATTTACAATACATTGGTTAAAAGCTACATTTATTGTATTGCTTTTAGAATTAGTGTGGTTAAGACATAGAAGTTAGATATACACCCTCATGTGGAAAGAAACATTTTTTTCATATCTGCTATTGGTAGATCCTGCAGTGTAAGGATATGTAAGAGTACCCATAAATATGAGATAAACAGCTAAACCCGATAATCTTACACTGCTTATCATCCTGGCAGATTATATGACTTGATAGTCATTATATGGCAGCTGATAGACTAATTGACAAGGACGGACTTGCAAAGATTCATAGATACATTTGCGTATGGGTCATGGATTGAACATATGTTAAAAAAACAAATCTGAATCAGAAGGGTGGTATCCTCTATTTACACAACCAAAGTAGGTAGGAATCTGAAATAAGGTTTTTTGAAATACCTACAACATATGTCTCTTGTATTAAAAAAGTGGACCCTTATATTTACAGGGAGGCGAAGAAACAGACAAGAAAGAAAACATTTTAACTGACAAGCACTTGTCCTTACAGTATATCCAGTTGTGGCTATTATGTTTACTGTTTGTATGGCTCTGACCTTTTCACTTATCTGTTTCAGGCCTGTCTTCAGAAAGTTCAGTTGGAGAAATTTCAGTTCAAGTGGATATTTTCACTCATCCTGGGAATGGTGAACACAAGATTACAGTAAAAAGTAAGCTGAAAATTAACAAAAGTCATCATTGACACATAAAATCAGAACAATTTATCCGGGAAGCAGCAAGCGGAAACTGTATTTCTGCAAAACACTTTTCATCCACAGCATAGTAGATTTTCAATTATGATGCATACCATCTTAAAAACTTTATTGTCCTCTTTTTGTTATCTCTCATTTGCAAGCAGTTTTTTAATGTCTTCATATAAACTAAAATGTTTTCCTACGTACAGCATTTATAAACAAAATATGTTTTAATTAAACCTTATTAAAAATTACCTTTCCATTTAAATCTACAGTGCAATTTTCTAAAAATTGTCAGACATGTAACTGTACATCATTATGATATAGAATGCTCCCAGAAATCTATTGTTCTACTTGTGTTATTGTCTAACTGCATTTCACTGATCACCTTCACCATCAACTGGAGTTTCATTTTTGTTGATATACTCTGTAAAGGTGGCCATACACTGTAAAGTAATAAAAAAACATGTACGATCTGCCCATCTTGGACAGGCAGCTCGTACTTGCGATCATCGCAAGACTGCCCTGCTGAGGGGCGGACTTCCAATGACCGCATTGCTGAAGGGGCAGTGTAAATTTTCAAAAGAGCTTTCATTTGAAAGAACATTCATTCAACTTCCTATTGGCTGATGGGGTCAAATCGACAATTGATTACAACCATAGTGATAAAAAACCTCTAAGGAGCAGGATGGAAAAATGTTCTTGTATGAATTAAATTCTAACCGTTCAGGAAATTCTATTCATTCCAAAATTGGACGTTAAAATCAAACAAAATGTTGTTCGACATTCGACAAGTATGTGATGCCATTATAAGGTAGTAAAGAAAGATCTTTTGTACGAACGTTTGTTCAGAAATCTGTTAGTGTATGGCCAGCTTTAGAATGGACATGGTGAAATAAACTGTTCCAATCCTTGCAATGTATGTTGTTTACCTAAAGGGGGTTGATTTTTTTGTCAAAAACTAGAATTACACTTTAAATTGGGTTTTCTGTGGCATGAAAAGCAATATTTCTGACTGTACCCTATTCTCTTTTGTTACAGTTGTGGCACTCAATGGCTTAATTTGGCAGACGACAGCTATGTTTCGGCCTTTTGTTGAAGTCTATGCATTAGGTCCCAATATGGCTGACAAGAAAAGAAAATTAAGCACTAAAACAAAAAGTAACACCTGGTCACCAAAATACAATGAGACTTTCCAATTGTAAGTTTTTCAGACTTTTCAAATAATCATTTTTTTGGGGATAAATGAAATATAGACCTATTTTTTTTAGGAAAAATGGTTTCCTGCACTGACAGCTGTTCTTACAAGTTATTTGACATTTTATTCTCCCTGTGTGTGCATTTCAAATTAAGAGAGCAGACCTGCAAACTCTATAGCCTTGGTAAGGCTAATTACTGGACTCTGGCAGAGTCACTTTAGCCTCTTCTTCCAGTTTTCCATTTGTATGTGCAGTTCTTTTCTCTAGTCTATTTTTATGGTCTGTCTCACTTACTAAATAATAAACACAACTATTTCTAAAATGCTTAGTAACATTTATTTTTATCTCTTAAGAATTTTAGTTCTTCAACTACAACCACCCCACACCCATCCTAATCGTTCTGTACCACATATTACTTTTTCTCTTTTCAGTATATTCTGCATATAAGATTTGTTGACATGGCAGTCTAATAATAGATTAGGAGTCACTGGCATGCATAGATCTAGATTTTTAATATGTCATGTGTGCTCCTGTACATGCGAAGAGTATCTGATGGCAACATCTGAGTGAAACATCCTTGTCCATGGCTTTTTTTCAGTGCCCATCAGACCTTTTCTGTGAGTAACAGAGCTGTGCTTGATATTTTAAACATTTGGCTACATTTGTACCAGTTTTACTCAGTTAACTGCACACTTGATAAAGGTATGCTCCAAATACATACAAGTCCTTAATGATTGCAAGTCACATAATTTCTCCCAAACACTCCAGCCAGCCCTATGGCTATGGACATTTCAGGCATAAAGGTTAAACCATCAGTATACTTTAGGATTTGTGTCATTTACATTTTGAATGTGCAGATCTTTTTACAGTTCCTAATGCATGAACTACAGCATTTGAAACGTATATAAGGAATGTACACTGAGTGGCCAGTTTATTATGACCACCTGACGTTTGTAGGCAAATTAGCTATAATTAGCTATAATTTCGCGCTGAAGTTGCTAGAGGGCCAGACCATTATAAATAGGGAAGCAGGTTGTTTACCACGACAGTAGAAGTGATTTTTTTCTGAAGATATGGGTAAACAACGCGATTTAACAGCCTTTGAACGTGGGATGATTGTTGGCGCTCGGAGCCATGGAGCGAGTATCAGCAAAACAGCAAAATCCGTTAAATGTTCAAGAGGGGCTCATTGTTAAAGTGTATAAAGATTGGACTGTCAGCCGAAAATCTGGGTCTGAACGTGCAAATTGTGGCTGTCGCCGACTAGTCAATGTTAGGGCAGAACGGAGAGTGGCAAGACTGGTACAAGACAATAGAAGGGCAACAGTGCAGTGTCAGATTCCTTGCATCACCTTTCAACATCTCCTTGCATCACCTTTCAACATCTCGTGGAGTCACGAGGCGGCCCAACAAAGTCATCTAGTGGAGCCATCTCGTGGCCCAACGAAGTACTGATGGGGTGGTCATAATAATCTGGTCACTCAGTGTATATTTAACATATAAAAAAAATATTCCAAAGGTGCGATTTTAGTGCTATAATCAAATGTGATAATTCTTTAACTACCTTCCATCCATGGCTGTTCGTGAATGGCCGGATGGACGTCTGCTAGGAGCGGGAGGGCGTCTTAAGACGTCCTGCCCCTCCCCCTTCTCGTGTGTGGCACTCAGCGCGCACACTGTCTTAAAATAACTTTTCTAGATGTTTCTATAAAACTGGAGTTGGTGTTGTTGCCATTATCAGACAATTAGATTCCTCTTTTTATTTTATAAAAACAGTGTAACAAAATTTCTGGTCAGTCATTATGGCGAAGTACTCCAATGTTGTTTCCATTTTTTCTACAGTTTTCTTCAGTCAGCTGCTTTTGATTTTAACCAAAGACTGGCAAAAAGTTATAGATGAAAGTAGTCACTCGCACTCCATGATATTAAAGGCAATGCTGTTTATTGACTGAGATCACACACATCTCCTTAGCGACGTTTCGAGACCATGCGATGGTCTCGAAACGTCGCTAAGGAGATGTGTGTGATCTCAGTCAATAAACAGCATTGCCTTTAATATCATGGAGTGCAAGTGACTACTTTCATCTATCTACATTTCAGTGAGGCATCCGTTGTCACCACCGCACCCACCCAGTTGGATTTGGGTTTTTGTCCGGTCAGGAGTGCGATGGGACAGGAGGTTTAAGTGGCAAAAAGTTATGTCTAACCACAGGTTAGCAGGGTAGATGTAGCAAATACATAACAGGAGCACTGCAGGATTTTGTAGCAAGCTTCCTGTTCTAGGATGACAATGCTCTCTTATTGTACTGTATTTGTAAAGAGGCAGAGTTGTCACTACAGATCAGAATGTATGTTACAGCTAAAGAACCCCCCTTTTTTTGTACAATGGGGGTGGTGTTCTGTAGTTCACATTGATTAACTGGGCAGGGTTGATAAGACTCCTTAAGATAATACTGCAGTGTTAGAATAGAACATAGGACAGAACTGGATTTCAGGTAGGATCAACCCATTTTTTTGCACTTATTTACCAAATATAACAATACACTTTCAATTATATATTTTAAAGATGGGCAAATAAGACAAGTTTGCTTGTTAGGTTTTTTAAAAGTTTTATCAGGATAAAAACAGATTTCTGGTCCTCCATCATATTGCATGTTCTTCCTAAAATGGTATTACAATTATGACACAGACTCCATGGATACACCCCCTCAGACAGGGTCATCTTTGTAATGAGGCATCTTGAGGCCATTGCCTCAGATGGCATCTCATTGGGTCACGTGGGGGACACACCTGCTGCCTCCTTTCCAGCCAGAACATCCCAGGTTGCTAAGAGCTCTTAGCAACCTGGGATTCTCTTGCCTGGTGTCCCACTCAGCTCACTGGCAACCAGTGGCATTAGTGAGCTGGGTCGGACAATGAACAGATCTACTGTGTACCCCCCATCCCCCATAATGCGTGCTGCCACCCCCCTTCCCCCATATTGTGTACCACTGCTGCCTTAGGCAGTGATGAGTCTAGGGATGCCCCTGCCCTCAGAGTTCTTCATCTCTCTAATAACATTGCCTGGTGTGAGACCCTCTCCCCCATTCTGCCACCTTCATGCTCCTGTTGTAGGTTGGTGTATGGCAGTTTTTCTGTGCTCCTGATATCTCCTGATATTTACATTTATCCTAAAACTCTTAATTCAAAAAATGTACAGTGTCAATGTCAGTGACAAATTATTTAGTTTTCTTAGCAAAAAGCAGTTTTACCATTACTGCATAATAATATTTTATAAGTAAAAAGTTTATAAACAATTGTATTTTTTTGTATTTTAAATTAAGCAGGACATTAGTGTAGGGTATATCAGTTTTTTGTTCCATGCAAATGTTGACTAAAGCACAAACTAATAGGCAATTTTATACAATTATCACATTGCTACAGGTGAATAAAATAATGACACACCCGATTTTAAAATAGTCTTGCCTGTAAGAGACTGGAATAATACAGATTTTTATGGAACAATGCAAACTGTTTTTACAAAATCACATTAGGCTAGCTATACACTTACTTACATTTTGCTATGGTGACAGCATCTAAATCCAGGATACCTAGCAGGCCTGTTTTATCCAGTTTCCATTTAAACAGTAAATATGACACTTATTATTGCTGAGTTTATGAGAAGCAGGTGTTTATCCCTATGGAAATGCCCCCAGGCTGCCTCCACACAGTGTTGTTGGGAGTTACTGCTGATCTCTATCATATGTCTGTTTTGGAGCTATTTGAAATTAACCACAGTGAGCTTTGTATCAGTAATTTATTGTACCATGCCTTTTCATTTCAAGATGTTTTACTACTTTTCCAATTAACTGACTGTGGTAAGTCTCAAATAGTTCTTATAAAGTAAATAATAGCATTCCAAGACATTCATTAATATAATCATTTGAAATAATATATATTCCCTCATTATAGGGAAAAAGCAAATAAAGATAACTCAAACATGGCAGTGCTTCAGGTTAAAAAATGAATATCATTAAAGCTTAACTCCAGCTCAAATGTTTTATAGAGTAGAGAAAGGTTAGAGGCTATATTATGTTCTTGCTGTCTGACAAACCCCATTTCTAGTAAAGTGACAAACCCCATTTCTTCAGACAGATGGCACAGTGTTTGATTGGAAGGAAGTGCAAGACACCCACCCCCTAGGGGATCAAAGAGAGAAATAAAAACCTTACAGAAATTTATATAGCTAAGGCCAAAACATTTGTTAATTCCGGGCAGAGAAGGGAAAGGTCAAAACCTATGTTTTTTTGTTGTTTGTTTTTTTGCCATCTATGTACAATTAGGGAGATTTCACTTTCTGTCCTGTAGCCACAAGAGAAATTGAGGTGCAGTGGTACACATAGGGTGTTAGTTAGTCTTACAACATATGAATGACAAAAGTTTCAGGTAACCTATGGGATGGTTTAGCACATCGCATCTTGATAAAAATGATAATCCTGTATGTGTAGGTATGGAGAGGGCCAGTTGTCTGGGAAAAAGTACTATACCAAAAAGTGCTGTTAGTTGAGAGCAAAGAGGGGAGAAAGAGATGAGGTTGAAGGAAAGAGAATTGGTGAGTGATGGTAACTTAAGAGGGGAGCAAGCATTCTCTGCTGTTTCAACACTATGTGGATAGATTGTGTGTTAGTGTTACAGAGACAGTAATGTGCAAAAGTGAGCTGCATCTTGAAAGAAAAACTAGGAACTCCAGGTGTTTAAGGCCTGTGTATATCGATCATATAGTTGGGTCATCAATTGCTCCATGTATCCAGTATCTAGATACCTAGATATCTGGTACCTAGATATAAGCTCCCTAGCTGAAAGAAGCTAAGATTATTTTGGGGGCAGGGGCTGTATATTCGGGTAGTATAGAGAGTAATGCAAGCCATGGAGAGCATTGTACTTTGGAAGAGGTTTTATGATCACAAGTGTCGAATAGAGATGAACAGAATGTAGTAATCTTCCAGCATATGACTAGCTATAGAGTCAAAAGTATGATTTGGAGATAAATCTACATTTCCATTTTGTTAGGTAATAAGGACAGTATAGTGACAATAGAAGGTTTTAAGGGTATAGAGATTAAAAGGGATAAAGATCAGTATTGGAGTCATAGGGCCTACTTCAATGGACAGTAAATATATGAGAAGGAAGGCCCATGTTTGCAGGATGGGAGGTGGTATCAAGGGCACGCCTAGAGTAAGGAGGTTAGGGGAATGGGGAGAACTGTGTTTCCAACTGTACCCATAATTTATGCTGGGTATTAAAGAACCAGACCAGCAGTCTGATAATTAGGGTCGCCTGATAGTAAAGTACAATCTTTTAAAATGTGATCTGTTATACCAAAGATAATCTTCATATTTTGTTAATAGACAGCTCAGCATATTTCTTTAAAATGCATTCAAAATGTTATGTTGTTAAACAGCTTTTTAATCTTAGTGCAGCAGAGGGTTCTGTAATATAGTCCTTGTGGCTAATTTCTTTTTGTTTGTCAATTACAGTATTCTAAGCAATGAAGAAGGGCCAGCAGCCTATGAACTTCACCTGTGTGTAAAAGACTACTGCTTTGCAAGGGAAGATCGCATAATTGGAATGACAGTCATTCAACTGAAGGGCATTGTGGAGAAAGGCAACTGTGCATCTTGGTATCCACTGACAAAGAACATCTGCATGGATGAAACTGGACTGACAATCCTAAGAATACTTTCTCAGAGGTCCAACGATGAGGTCTCCAAGGAGTTTGTCAGGTTGAAATCAGACACAAGGTCTCCAGAGGAGGTCTAAAGGGTTGCTGCTGCATGGGGGAATTGATCTCAAAGAAATCTTTTTAAATACAGACACAAACCATTGATACGGTGTTGTTCTTTGAATAGTGTATGCATGTGCAAATCAGTGGGAATGTTTATTCAATATGTTTCAGTGTTTGCTAGTACACTGGTACTATATTTGCAAGGTGTGTTAAAGAAAGAAGTGTATTTTCTTTTTATATGACTGATATTGGGCAAGGACTTGTTCCCATAAAGTGCCAAAACCTACACCTTAGAATTGAAACAAGCTAATGGTTATTTTTGGTATACATTGTTTTCTTACCAATTTTCAGCCTGGTTGAGTAATTAACTATTGATCATTGAGTTGTATTTGTTAAATAAATGTGTGTTGTCATGCAGTCCGTAATGTTCAAGATCTTCTGACCTGCTATTCTTAAACATGCCATCATTTATTTTCTTTGCCTTTATTGCATAATCCAGTTATTGTTTTGTTGCAACATGTTTTGTACATTGTAAATCCATTCCTGATTAGAACTATTCCCTTTTCATAAAAGAAAGGATGGGGCTATTTTATGTAGATCTAACACAACCTTTCTGGTATATCACTGTGAAGATAAATTGTAAAGATGCTTGCCCTTTCTTATACAGTAATATCTGCTGTGCATTCCATTTTCTTATTGGATCTTTCTGCAAATAGTGCTAAACACAATGGTCTCATTTCTAATAAGAACTTTTTGTGTTGCCTGCAGTCATCAATCAGATTCATGCTATAAACAACCTGGGAAAAATATGGTAGCTGCCATTGCTGACCTCCATCTGAGATTGCTAGATGCCTGCCAGTTAAGCTAATGCTCTCTGACCGGGAATAAATATGCTGATCAGAAAAGTCAGAAGTCTTTATCTGCATACATGTTCAAGGTCAGTGATTCAAAATGCTGAAGCAGGAGGCTGAACATGGCAACAAGGCAACCACCATTTTCAGAAGGAGAGTTCAAATATAATAGCCTCAAGGTCATTTTAAGGTACTGACAGCTACAAAAGAAAAATATGAATCTGATTTGCTCAGAATTCTCTCTAAAGAAGCTTTTTTATTACAATTAAGGACTGAAGAAATGCTAACTGTAGCTAATAGCAACCAGTCAGGTTTAACTTTTGTTTTTCTAGCGCTGGTTGAACATAAATGGCAAGAATCTGATTGGTTGGGGTGGATAGCACTTCTGCCTTTACCTTCCGTCAGGTTTTGTGTGCCAGCCCCACTATGCTCTGTAAGTCGAGAGTTCGTGTACATTTGTAAAAATACAGAAGAGGGATAATGTAAACCATTTATAAACCAAGTTTTGCTCGCACCATTTGTTCAGCTTCTCACACGGCAAAGGGTTATTTTCCATAAAATTTGCAGTATTTTTGTACTGTGTGGAAAAGAACAGAAAATCCCCTTTAAAATATCTCTAATTCTACCAGAGTGTATGTGCTTAAACCATTGTAATGAATACCAAGGATATTGCTCGGAACAGTGTGCAGCTGGGTGTTGTCTGTATCATTAAGAGAAATGACTTTTGGCAAGCCGGAACATGTTGCATTGTACACTTAGCTGCAATTTCAGTCAAGTGTCTCTTTTTAAAGAAAATTAAAATCCTACAGTTTGTACTTATGCAACATAAAAAAAAATGTATTGCACTGAGGCAAAAGTCTTGTTATGTAAATATATTTAGTGACATATTGTAAAATAAACAATGAAGAAAGATCGATTGATTTATTCATTTATCCAATCTAAAGAAAACCTTTCATGAGAGCAATGCAGGAGCTGGCACTGCTGACCTTCTTTGTAAAACGCTGTTTGCCTGGCTTTACTACCTGGAGTCATGACCTGGAACAATTAGGCAGGTCACATAAATTCTTATCTGCAAACTTGTTCAAGTTTAAAGTGGTATTAAACGCTCAAACTTTTTTTCTATGAGTCCAGATCAAACAAATCTGCATTGACAGCAAAGCATTGCTTTACTTTTTTGCCCAAATACTTACAATCATCATGTTTCTGAACAGCTGGTTCTTAGTCTCTCAGCTTAGCTTCCCTGAACTTACTGTTCAGTACAAGATCACAAAGGACAGTGCAGACACCAGCAGTTGTCCATCTACTAGCTTGCAGGAGGAAGGAGAGGGGGGCCAAAAGGGGAGGCAGTTACTTGTTTTGCTGTGTCTGTGTGTATGTGGAGACACACACAGTCTACTAGCACACATAAGGGTGGCTCCATACACTCCCTCCTTGAGAAAGGAGTCACTCTAAAACAGGAAGACAGGACCAGTGCTCAGGGGACCAGCTGCTTCTGCATGAAACGAAACGTTTAAATATAAAAAAGCCGCATCCATTGTAAATGATTTTATCAGCGTTTTACATTGCTTAAAATGCTTTTGACTTTAACATCACCTTAATGGCTCAGAGTATTGAAGCTAGTGGATGAGCATAACAGCCAGGCAACCACTTAGAGGAAGAACCCATTGTTGACAAAATAAAGCTTTACTATTTGTTATATTTTGTTAAAAGTAAATGACTCTGTTATGCATATCATATTAAATGTACTGTATGTATTCATAGCAATTGAGGAAGGGCATTCACTATAAAGAGTACAGTAATGTACATGTTCCTGTTTTTAGTCTTCTATTGGTTTGTAAACTCCAACTTCTTTAACAGTGAAGTGCAAAGCAAACAGAGAGGCTACTTTGAGCGAGATGAAACTGTAAGCATTACAGAAACTTGAAGACATGATGTACAAAATGATAAAAGCAAACAGTTAGGTATCTGTATACATTAGATGCTGTTTAATGGCTCATGTTGATGGGCAATGTTTTTCTGGGTTAGATGTGCATTTGGAACACATGTCAAATGCAGGTCAGCAAAATTCCATTGAATTTAATTGAGCCATATACATGGCAGCTCATGAGCTGTGCTTGACCTGCCTTGCATTCTGCTTTATTTGTTGAGTGTTGAGATGTGTTTGATCTACATGCAAAGCAGGTAAATGCAGCCTTCTCTTGTCAGATGCTGCCTGCATTTCACAAAAATGTCAGTTGACACAAGCTCTAATATAGTTTTTGCTTTCATTTTACAGACCTCAGTACTACAGAAAGCAATTGTGCTCTTTCTATATTATTGTCTCATTGCCCATTGAAGTGTATTTTTTAATCTGCTATAACTATCACAAAAGGGGATCCTTTCAAATATGTATTTTCTAGCCAAAATATGGCTAAAAATGCCACCTTCAGACACTGAACTCCAGGTAAGCATCTAAATGCATTTGAAATCCTTATATTGGAACAGATGCCTGCCTTACCTGCCAAATAATTTATTCAGCAAATGTTGTGGTCCATTCTGCACCTGCAGCTCCTTGGCCAATTATAGCAGGAGCATAGCTTGGTAATGCCCATACCCATATCTTGCTGTTTGGACAATGAAGCAAAAAAAAAAAAGAAACAATTGGAGAAAAATGTAAAAAATCCTTATTGTGGGATCATGGGAATGCTAGTGATCCCAAATCATGTAAGAAGATGCTGTGAAAGAGTGCATTCTCACAGAATTTTGGATTCTCAGTATTACCAGGATCCCACAGTAAGTCACCGTAATATCACAGATGCCTACAGAAAGCATTCAGAAACTGCAATTTAAGAAACAGATGTGGCCAAGACCAACTAGGTGACTGGTCAGGTGTAACGTGAGTATATTTTATATATATATCTTCCAATGTTTTATTATTTTATTGCTTTAACTTAGCGCATGGGAGTTGTTCTGTGACAAACCTGCTTTGTCTGCTTTGTTTTTAATATTGAACTGGTCAAATGCAAAAATGACATATGTGATGCAGTCTGTAACAGTTATTGGTTTTATGAGTTACCTCTGTTACATGTTAATCCTGCCACTGAATCAAATAATGTTCCCACTTCCTGGAATAGAGTAACAAAACAAAAAAAGTTTAAACCACATGAATAAAAGCTGACTGTTGGAAACACCCCTGTCATTATAATAGCTTTTTCCAACTTTCACTTTTTCTGAACAATTTACCTGCCTGTAAAAGTGGAGAAATATGGTAAGATACAAATATTTGGAATAAAAAAATATCTTGTGATACTGCTAGAGCTTCCCAGTCCACATTAATTAAAAATGATTTTGTCTCTGTGTGCAATATGAACACACTTTCCTTCCTCCTGACATTTCATGTTGGTTAATAAACACTTGATTATATTAATATGCTCAATTAGTATGAGCAAATGTATGTTATGCACTAGAACAGTTAAATAACAAGGAGTCTTTAAGTGATTAGCCTCAGATAAGTACTGATTCAAACAGAGCTTGTAGCAGCTTTACAGACTTTTCATGAACATGTCTCAGATGTCTCACATGTGCATTTCTTTCCTTTTTTTCACCCACATTTAAAAATGTTTTGCTTCTCCAAATAGATTTTATCACCCCTCATTCTCACTGAATTGTTTAACAGTGCTTCTGTTAATTACCTTTGTGTCTGTGGATACAGTATGACATTCTTAAAAGCTATTTTTATTTACTCTTTAATTTATATATTTCGCTTATAGGGTTTTGGTTAGACCCTAAGACTATGCTAAAGAGAAGTCCTGAATTATTTTCAGTAAGAGCAGAAGTGTTGATCTGCAGAAGGGTAATTAAACACACAGCATACACAGCAAACACAATCCATTGCTATGAATATTTGTAGAGCTTCTCTTAATTTACAAGTTCTTATAGATAAACCTCAGGGCCGCCGTCAGGGGGGTACGGCCAATAGCATTGTAAGGGGCCCCAGGGGGTGGGTGTGGCCTCCAAGCTATAATTTTTTCTGATCGAATTATAAGAAGTTGCATTTCCCTGGTCCCGGTCCCCCCACGCTATTGGTATCTTCCCCTGAAGTGTTAACAGGGGGGCGGAGCTTAATGTCCCGGGCAGAAGCGCCAGAGATGGAGGATGAAGAGCATGTCTGCTGCCACCTACCTGGAGGGGAAAGGTAAGTGTTTCCCAGCCCTGTAGACAGAGACCCCAGGGATGGTGGGGGTTGTGACAGAGACTGGGGGAGAGAGAGACAGATTGATCGACGCTGACAGCTTCTTAGCATCGGTCTCTCTCTCTCATGCTTCCCTCTCTCCTCTCAGCATGGTTGGTCTGTGTCTCACTCTTTCCCCCCTCCTCCTCCCCTCAGAGAAGGGGGGGTGGAAGAGTGAGAAAACACAACGGACACTGAGAGGAGGAGGGGTGAGAGTGGGCGACTGACACTGAGGGGGGTGAGGGGGGGGGGGGCAGAAGGACGGCA